AATTTAGTTGTAATTTGGTTAATATTAAGTCAAAAATCTTTGTTTAAAGCTTAGTTTGATCAGATAAATGTGGACTATAACTTTACTTAAGAGTAGAGAACAGGTTAAGGCAGTAAAAACTGCTAGATAGTTAAAAGTTTTTAACTAGAAGCCAAAAGCCATTAGTTCAGTTTTCTCAGTGAGTTTGAAGTTTAAAAGCTTAATATTTACAAACTATATATAAAATGATAAGTTAAATAAGTTTACTTAAGAGCCCAAGACAGATATCTTAGTAAAATAAATAGTTATAAGTGTTTTTTGACAGATGAATTTTTTAGTTAATTTTTGTACAATAGATTTGTAGAAAGAGTTTATTCTACTTGTTAACTTTCTTTTAACTCTTTAAAAAAAGATGCACTTATATACAAGAATAGCATCCCACTAAAAAGATAACATAGAGGCCCAAGATCAAACATTTTTCTACTAAACTCTATGGTTTTAGATCCATCATTATGATCAGGATCTTCTATAGCACACAAATGATTAGCTTGATCTGATAGATCTATTACAACAAATAGCTAGTTTTTAATTCTGCATCATTATAATATTGTTTTTATTGGGCACTTGGCTTTTAAGTTTTTCAAGGTACAATCAATACACAATAGTTTGCTTGTTTTAGGAGCATTCTTGCTATAAAAGGGCATTGGTCAGGAAGCACTAGATTAGAACAACTCTGATACCCATTTTGCTTTTAATACTATATAAAATTATTAATTTTTTATATAGTAAACTGATTTAAATAGGTATTTTTCTTTTATTACAACTTTATTTTATATAATAATTATAATTGAAAATTTACAGGTTTATATATTAAGGTTATACCAAGGTACTTGCATAGTAGCACAAAAAAATACTTAATTATAATTGGTTAATTTAGAAATATATCAAAAAATTTTAATTTTTTAAAAAAATTGATCAACATTAAGTTTTTTTTAAACAATATGTAATCAAAAATTAATTTAATTTTTTTATAAATATATTTTATAAATCTTCAAATATTAAATATATTTATTTAATTACAAATTAATATATAAAATTTTGTGTAATTACATATTAATTTAAATGTATCAAGTTAATATATTATACTTAATAAGATGACCAATATTCAATTATAATTTTCAAATTAAATATTTATCAAATTAAATCAAATTTAACTATATTTGATTTGAGAATTTTAATTAAAATTTGATTTAAATTTAAATATTTAAATTAAATCAAATCAAATTAAATTTAAAATTTTAGTTATTTTTTATTTTTTATTTTTTTTTGCTTTTGCTAAGGCTATTAGTTATTGGTAACTACTGCCTTTATTGTGAATTCAATTATGATTATATAACTTATACAAGGTTACCCCTATACTACACTAGCAGATAGCATACTAAGCTTCTGTACATCTAATTAGATGTTGTCTAACCTAACCTTGACCTCTCTGTCTGTATGTCTGTCAAGCCATTACATATTTCAGAATATGTTACCAACTATAGGGCTTTAGGGGGCCCTCTTGCTAACTAATTACCTATATTTAATCTTTGCTAACAGGACTTCACCCTTGTAAAGTTCACCCAAACCCTAGTACTAACTTCACAGCATATTTCTAGTACTTATAATATATCCTGCTTCTGAACCAGACTCCTAATTCAAATAGTCCAGTAGGACTGTAACCTGTCCCTAGTACTCCAGAGTTTGCTTCTAAGGTCTTTTTCCTCTGGTTTAAGACTTCTAGCAGCCTGGTTAGTGGTACCCCTCACCTGAGGTTCTTGCCTGCCTAATTTCTTCTATATTAGTATTTGGTTTCTAGATCTAGCCTTTACAGTAGTACTGTTGAAGATCTGTGCTACCTTTTTAATCAGGTCTTCCCAAGTGGGCTCTGGTTTTTCCAGTTCACAGATTTACATAGCCACAAGGACTTATCTTGTGTTTGCACTGTCCGATGCCAGTTTGCATTCCTCTGTGTAACTCCAACATTGCACAGATGCCCCATAACCTGCCAGTTATCTGGTGCAACTGTGTTACAGGTACTAATTCCAACTGATCGATGGATTGCTGTTGCCATAGTACTGGACACAAGGACTTATCTTGGGTTTGCACTGCCTGATGCTGATTTGCATTTTTCCGAGTAACTCAAATATTGCACAGATGCCCGTAGTACTGATATACATAGGTGGTTTTCCAAATTTTCACCATTGGTAAGTTTTGAACTTCCAACCTACTACTTGGAGAGTTGACAACTTATCCACTTCACTAAGTCATCATACTCTTAAAATTTTAGTTATTATTTATATTATACAAAATTATATATTAATTTGATCTGCAAAATCTAAGTAAATTTTATTAATACAAAATATACAATCTTATACAATTTATTAAAGTTATACTAATTTAAATTATATAATATATTATAATATAAGTAGACTTTTTTATAATTAATTAATTTTATAAAATTTAAAATATATTTATTATTAATATAATAAAAATTATTTAAAAAACTACAATTTATATTTATGATATTACAAAAAATTTTTTACAATTAAAACATTAAATATTTAGATATTTTTTCTATTTACATAAACTTAAAAACAATTTATAAGCCAATAAAATAGTAATATATAATAAATATATGTTTAAGTTTTAATTACAAAAAATAAGCTAACTAGTTTGAAAAAATATTTAAAGTAGTATCAATATTATTTATTAAATCTAATATTTAATATTCAAAACTTTATTTAAATATAAAGAAATTATTTGGTAAAAAGTTATATATTTATTTATTTTTTAAATAATAAATAAGTTCTATTTTATTTATTTATAATTTATATTTAAAATAACTTTATTATATATTATAGAAGATTATAATAATATTATTATTTAAAATTTAAAGAAAAAACTTTATTGTTTTATGTATATAATAACTTTATTGCATAAATAAATTTATATTAAATTATTTTTAATTTATCTCTTAGTTATATATAATATTATATAAATATAAACTTTTTAGCTATATAGTTTAAAATTATTATTATATCAATGATAACAATAATATTTTGATTGATAAATTTGAACATAGTTTGCAAAGTGACTAATTATAAAATAATATTTAATTTGTAATTATAAGATTATTGTGTATCTGAACTAATTAGTTATATTTTTTATATAGAACTATTATAATTAAAAATAGAAGATAAATGACATCTTAGTGACAAGACTAATATAAAAATGAGATTCAAAAAAGCAAAATTGTAAATTCTAAATAGAACTTGATTCTAATTCAATTAATAACTAAACCAAAAATTATAAATCAATTTACTGTTAAGATTAAAAGTAAAGATAGGTTCAATCATAAATAGTTACAATTATTCATAATCAATTTGCTAAATACTAAAATGATTTTTTATTTTTAAGCCTTTAATTGAAGTTGTTTAGAATTAAATTTTGATTATCCTATATTATATACAAAAAGAATAATTTTTTTTTTAGATTTTAGAATTTCAAAATGTTTTTATAAAATATGACAATTTAGTAAAGTAGATAAGTTGTCAATCCCCCAAGTAGTAGGTTGTAAGTTCAAAACCTACTAATAATAAAATTTGGATAATTACTTATATAATATATAGATGATATTATAGTAATAACATTGTATTAATCAGTTAGAACAAGATATCTGTAACTATGATTGTACTAACATAACTAATATATTACAAGGCATCTATGTAAACTTGATTATACAAAAGGAAGCAAACCAGTAATAAGTAATGCAAACCTATGATAAGTTTTTATAGTTGTATAAATTCATAAAACTGGAAAACCAGAACTCATTTAGAAATATTAAGTAGAGAGATAATACAAATCTATAATGATACTATTGTAAAGATTAAATCTAGGAAATAGATACTAATGTAAAAACATCAGATGAGCAAGAATCTCAAATGAAGGGTACCACCAACCAGACTACCAGATTTCAGACTGAAGAAAAAAAATATTAGACTGATCTTAATATACTAAGAACAGATCAAAATTCTTTTAGATTATTTGAATTGAAAGTTTAAGAACAAAAACAGAAGTATACTAAAAGTACTAAGGATATACTATAAAATTAGTATTAGGTCTAAGTGAACTCTACAAAATTAATTCTTATTAATGTTCTATAGAATGAGTAAATAATTAATAAAGAAAACCCCTTATGACTTACTAACAGATGTCATATTCTGAAATGTATAATAATCTAAGAATCAGTACAAAAAAAATAAGTATCATACTGCTCAAATAATATATCAATTAGACATATATAAGGAGTATAGTAATGTTATATCATGACAAGACAGATGATCAGAGAGTTTAAATAGATAATCTCCTAATAGGTTATAAGTACAACATCTAATATAAAACCTTAGATTGAACTACTTAAATAAGCAATCAAAAATTACATATATAATTAATTGTACTTTCATCTTTGTATAAAATAGTTATAATAACTAATCCAATAAAAATCAATAAAATTCTACTATAAAATATGACCTTTAACACAAAAAAAAAAATTTATTTTTGTCATAATTAATTATTAACCATTGATTAATAATCAGTTATAATATTACAAATTTTAAAATTCTAAGATCCAAAAAAGATATTATTCTTTTCACATATAATATAAGAAAATCAGAATTTAATTTTGAACAACTTTAATTAAAAACTCAAAAGTAAAAAATTCTCTCAGTATTTAGCAAATTGACTATGAATGATTGTGACAGTTCATGACTGAACACATCTCTAGTTGGGAAAACAATTCGTAATGTCAACCAATCTATCTCAGTACCATAAACATTAAAATAATAAGAGTGATATTTATTTATTAATACTATAGAGCCAAAAAGAGATTCCTTATACAAAATAGGTTAGCGAAGAAGAGATTTTTATTCCATAGTAGGTATGCGAAAGGGAGACTATTACTGAAAGAGGTTATGCTATGATTATCGATCCAAAAGAGTTCTATCTTTATCAATGACCATAACCCTTGATATAGAAATTCTATTAGACTCAAATAAGCAAAAAGGCTATTACGAAAAATGTAGTCAGATTTTTACTTTACAAATGTAGTAATCATTACAAAAGTTTAATAAAGTAATTACGCAGATCACTCATAATGACTAAATGATTTACTATATAGTTACACAAAAAGCAAAATGTTACATTTTTCGTAACACCACACCTTTAATTTTGCTGCATATTAAAGAAATCTGTAAATTGCTCGTTACTAGTTGCAAGTCGTAATTGGACCATTCTTACTATGCATTATCATTCTGAATAATTTTTAAGTAGAAACTACCTTTCAATTTAATCTAAATATAAATAATGTAATATGTTTTTTTAAAAAAAAAATAAATATTTTTGATGGTATATTTATTTGAATAGCTGGATATAAATTATGACATTCAAGCGATGTTATTAAAATATATATGAGCATTAATTTGTATACTATTTTAGAATGCCATTAAACACAATATTATTTAGTATATGTTTCTCTAATTAATTTAAACAGAGTCACCTGAGTTGCAATGTTGTACAAGTCACCCAGATGACTCTTATACGAGTACAATTATAGATCAGACCTCGCTACTCGAGGTTTCTTTGCGTTTTGAAATCGTAAGTAACCAGGTTGAATTTTTTGGTGGTAGGTCCAACCTCTGGCCCACATTGTAATTGACATAAAACAGCAAAAATGGCTTAATCCATAAATATTTACAGTTTATTTCTCTCAACGAGTTGTTAGTGTTCTGCGTGGACCAGGCTGAGTTGGATTTTTCGAAGTTCAGATTCAGCCCAACAAAAATATATATACCAAATATTTAGATCCAAATCCAACCATTCATTGCACAGTACAATCCACCGTTGGCCTATGGCGCAAACTGTAACACAAGATTATTTATTAAACTAAGGATAACGGTCCATGCATCTTAACCATTGGCAAAAAAGAAGCAATTAAAATGTAAGATATGGCGTAATAAATAAATAAAATTTTTGATTATGCCTTTGCCTTTTTCTGTCCCTAACACTAATCCTAATTTTGTCTATTATTTGAAATTCTTTGCTATATTAGATTGGCTTATTTAATAAGCTTCAAAAACCATAAATCACATGACTAGTCATTTCGTTTTTGTCATGGCTAGGAACCATCGATGTTGCCTACACCCGGTGCAACATATAGAAAAATTATTTTACATTACCAGATCATTCGCTAGTACATATTATGATTATAATCTAACACCATTTTATTATAATAATAATGGTATTGGATTATAATCATAACATGTACTAGCAGAATGATCTGGTATTGTAAAATAATTTTTTGATATGTTGCACACCGGGTGAAGGATCAATCGTGTAACATCGACGGTTCATCCTAGGATAGCCAATTTTTTTTAGAAATTGACTTATTTAATTCAAGGAGAATATAGAAAGTAGGTAATCAAACAACATAAGCAGCAAGTTGAGAAATCGGAATACATAGTTTTTTATACTATAGGCAATGAACTTGGCTTAGTTTGCTAAGCTGATTTTTGTTTTAAATATAAGTTTTGTTAAGTTGATAAATTTTAGCTGACTACTAAACATAAATCAGCTTCGATAATTTCCCGAAGAGAAACAAATGAAAAAATAAAATAAATATTTAACTATAATATAAAATTCTTTTAATATAACAACCCCAAAATTTTAAAATTATTTGAGATGAAAGAAAATTGACTATGCAAAGTGTAAGTATTTAACACAAGGCCAATATTTGATAAGGCTTGAATATAAGCATATAGCCTAAAAAATTAAAAATATATAAAATAAATTATTAAAAACTAAATCGGTGTTTGGTTTTATTAGTTGATGCGAAATCCTAATTAATAATTTATGCTGTGGCTGAAGCTGAAAATTAGAAAAATTGATAAAAAAAAATTAATTTTAATGATGGAGAATGGAAGAAATTTACTAGACAAAGTGCAAGTATTTAATGCGAAGCCATATTTCATTGACATTTTCGTTATGGCTGGGTCTTGCTGAATAATTACGTCGCAGCTGAAGCTGGATATTAGGGATGATGATAACCAAACTGTAAAACTTTCATATAAAAATAGTTTTTGGTTTAGATAGATTTAAAAGTAGTGGCTGAATCAAGGTTTCTAATTGCAATTGTATTATCAATATAGATATTTAGTGAAATATTAGATAGGATTGCAAATAAAAGAGTAAGAATCAGTGTAAGAAATCTAATGTTCTAATGTTCTCAAGAGAATGTACTTTTGGATTTGAGAACAATTGTTACTTTGAACATATAGTATAGTAGAATGAAGTTGATAATTAGAAAATAATTAAATTCTGAAAAATTTTAAAAGAAAATGAATGAATATAAAAGATGAACAAGTTTGAGACAAAAATTTGAATAAATTACCAATATTATCTGAATATTTTCAAAAAATGGTAACAGAGATTTTTGTTATTAAGAACATAAAAATATTTTTGAAAACATTAAATTAAATAATTGTGTTCTCATGAAAATATAAATTCAAAACAGATTTCCAACACTGGTAAAAACTGCTTCAAGTTCAGTGTAAGTTGAGTCAGAATAAAATTATATAGTTGCATTAAATTTTGCAGATGTATTATATTTACAAATTCATCTTATACCAGATTTGATATTTGAGTTTAAGATTTTTGATTGATCTTTTAGTATAAAAGTGTAATTTGTTTATATCAAGTTGAGTAATAATAAAATTAAAAGCAATTAAATATTATTTATATGTTAGTATATAAATGAGTTGCAGAATAAGTTGAACTTATAGAATAATAAAATTATTTGTAATTACAATAAGAGAATTAGAAATAAAATTATTCTAAAGTCAATTTAAATAGTAATTTGATCATTTGATTTATTAGTTAAATTTTAAGATAAACAAAAAAAATGGTAGTTATGTAATAATAATTGATTATTCAAATACTATAATTAGTAGAATAAATATAAGTATAAATATAAAAATAATAATAATAGTTTAATTATATTAAAAAAAAAACTTGTAGATAATAGATTTAAATAAAATTTAGTTAAATTAATAGTATTAGATTGATGTTTTTTTGAATAGATAAACTTATAAAAAACAGAAATATATAAATTAAATTTGTTTTTCTTAATAAAAAAAACTTTAATTTGTTCTAATAAAGATAAAATAGGTTTTTTTGAAAACTTAATTTATAATATGTATAGTTTTGACTTTGTTTTATTCATAAACAAAATTTCCAACTTAATTAATTAACTTGTTCAAGACTTTAGTAGAAATAAATTAATTAAATAAGGTTATATATTTTTTATTTTTATAAAATAATATAATATTATAAGTTGGCTAAATTCATGTTTCATTATCTTGAAAAAAGATAATTAAATAGAATTTGCTTAAAATATTATTAAAAAGCTTGATGCTATTATAAATTTTTTTTTTTAAAAAAAATGTTAAGGTGAGTACATGTGACCTAGGATTTTACTAATAATATAAGTTGGCTAGCACCTGTACATGTACAAATACAAAGGCAATTACAGAAAGAGTATACAACTAGCCACTCATACAACTTTAGTCATTGTCTAATTTAAGTAGTCCACTTGAAGGTTCTACACTAGTTGCTATACCTAGAACCTACTTGTAGATCCTCTATTTAAACACTCTGATCCTGCATCTACCACACCCTATCAGTAACTCCAGTAAATTGGTAAAGATATGCTATAGTCACTAAGTCATGTTTAACTTTGTACTAAACCTACCAGTGCATTTTGTATCTCATACTTACAACTTACCCAGTTACACTTTGGTCTAAATCATCACTTGCAGTCAGGGCTAACCATTAAACCGCTTTTACTCTTGTAAGGTTTATCCAAAATCTTGGTATCTATCTTTTTGACATCCTCTCTATCATCTCCTACTAACTGCTACTCAGAACTGACAGGACTCCCCAAACTTCCAATTCAGATGGCCTGGTATGGTATATCTTAGTATACTTTTTCTTTGGTGATTCTGGTGGCCTGGTTGGTCATGTGCTCCTCTATACATTTTGCCATCCAGTTTATTCACCTATCTTTTTGAAGATGTTTTATGGGCTTCCATCAGTCTGACAGCACTATTGAAAGTTTTGTGCTATCTTCTTATTCAAGATTTCCAAGTGGGATTCTGACTCTTCGATTCTTTCGCTTTCTGTGCCCAGTGGTCTTATCATAGGTTTACACTGAAGTCTTATGCAATACCAGTTATACATTCCTCTATGTGGGTATAATGTTATACTTAGTATAAATGCTCTAAGCTCCTATTTGAGATGAAGTAATGAAGGTTACAGATACACTAATCCAACCGATCAACAGAGACAGTTATCATAACACAGACCTATTTTTTCAAAATTCATTGTCCCTGAGATTTGAACTCTAGACCTGCCATTTGGGGGTTGACAACCTGACCACTTCACTAGGTTACTACACCCCTATTATAAATTTTTTATTAATATATTGATATATTTGTAATTATAAATGAGATAATAAAAATTAGTAACCTAATATGCTTTTTTATATTATTTATAGAATAAATTAAGTTTTTAAAATATATAAGTTTCAGAAAAATGTTTAAAGTATTAGAAATAAAATACTAATATAATTAGATTCAAAAAAAAGTATTAACTTTTTCTTTATTAATATTAAAAAAAAATTGTTAACTATACATAGGTCAAATAAATGAATAAAAGGTGAATAATAAGTAAATAACAGAAAAAAAATCTGCCATTATTTTACTTTATATCTGCCAAATAATAGCAACATAAAGCAGCATAATAGCAGAATAATAGTAAAATAACAGAAGGTTTGTTAATATGAATAACATAATAATAATATAATAGCAAAATAATAGAACAGTTTTATTATTTTACTTTTTGTCTTTGTAACTAAAAGTAAAATAATAAAACTGTTCTATTATTTTACTATTATGTTACTATTATATTACTTATATTGACAAACCTCCTGTTATTTTACTGTTATTTTGCTATTATACTACTGTTATATTGCTATTATTTGGCAAATTTAGAGTAGAATAATGACAAATTGTTTTTCTGTTATTTACCTATTATTCATTTTTTATTTATTTGTTTGATTTGTAATAAGAAGATAATAGACTTCAAACTAGAAGTAAAATGATTAGGAAAATTTTTTAGTAAAAAATATAAAATTTTTTAAATAAAAATATTTTAAAAACATTAAAGTTTAATATTAAATCTGATATTTGACTAAATAATAAGATATTTTTGTTTAAAATTAGTAGATTGAATAAAAAATTTAAATTAAAATCTTTTAGATCTAATTTGTAAATCTTTAACAAATTTTTAATAATTAATAAATTGGTAATTATTGAATAAGTAAAGATAAAGTTATACAAAATTAAATCAAGGTTAAAAATTTTATAGATAGTATTTAAAGAATGATAACTAACAAAACAAAAATTTTAAAATAATTTAGTTTGATGAAGTAAATAGTTGTAAATTTAAGAACAAAGTTTTTGAAAATAGATTCAAAAAGATTAAAAGAAATAATAACATTTTTATTATATTAAAATTAATATTATAAATAAGATCAGTTAAAAATTTAAACTATTACTTAGCTATTATACAGATAATATAATAGAATAAAGC